TTTTCATATGCCTGTTGGCTGCCTGTATGTCCTCTTTGGAGAAATGTCTCTTCATATCCTCTGCCCATTTTTTCATTGGGTTGTTTGTTTTTTTGGTATTGAGTTGCATGAGTATTTTATATATTTTGGATATTAACCCCTTATCAGATATATCATTTAACAAATATCTTTTATATATTTTGGATATTAACCCCTTATCAGATATATCATTAACAAATTCAGTAGGCTTCCTTTTTGTTTTATTGATGGTTTCTTTTGTTGCGAAAAAACTTTTAAGTTTGATGTAGTCCTGGATTGGACTAGTATTATTACTTCATTTAATAGGTATTTTCTGTGAGCTTGTTATGTGGGAGGCACTGTAATCTGAGAAATAAAAGTATAGAGATCTGCCTTCCCAAAGCCTATAGGATGATGGGAGAGACAGACTTTATAATACAAAATAATGTGTCAGTCACCTTCAGTTGATATATCATGAGTCTATAAATACTGTCTCCACTTTTTTCTTTCCTCAGTCATCAACATTGTTGTAGTAGGGTGGGAAGGGGGTTAAGGAAACTAGCATAATGTAGGTGTATAACAAATATATGTCGATCAAATGAATGCATACTTACAAGTTCCTATTATGCCTGGATCTAATGATTTTTTTTATACATTTACCTCATAAATTTTATCCAAACCAACGTATTTCCTCTTTAACTGCCCCTCAGACACTGCTTACCTGGGAGATGTATCTTCAGGTTTCATTGTAAAACATATAATGGTTATACAAGGTCTGACAATTAAGTTCGAGAACTTGTTGCACCAATCTTGCCACCTTTTTTGGTATCAGAAGGATTATTCATTATGACTTTGTACCAACTGGACAAACAGTTAACTAAGTTTACTATTTTCAAATGCTGAAAAGGTTGCGCGAAAAAGTTAGACGTCCTGAACTTTTCGCCAACAATTCATGACTCTTGCATCATGACAATGTACCAGCTCACACAGCACTGTCTGTGAAGGAGTTTTTAGCCAGTAAACAACTATATAGGGACACCCTCTCTACTTACCTGATCTGGCCCCCAGTGACTTCTTTTTTTACCTGAAGATAAAGGAAATATTGAAAGGAAGACATTTTGATGACATTTAGGACATCAAAGGTAATACAACGACAGCTCTGATGGCCATTCCAGAAAAAGAGTCCCAAAATTGCTTTGAAGGGTGTATGAGGTGCTGGCGTCCGTGCATAGCTTCCTAAGGGGAGTGCTTCAAAGGTGACCATAGTGATATTCAGCAATGAGGTAGGTAGCACTTTTTCTGGGATGAGTTCGTGAACTTAATTGTCCGACCTCATATATGATTGTGAATACTAAAACCTTTAATTATATTTGTAAATAATTAATAATCATATTATGTTGTTATAGTGAAATTTGCATTATTCTTTGTCTACAAATGTGTATGATTTTGGAGTTCTTATTACATCCTTTTTTGGTATTACATAAGTTTATAGTGCTTGTGATTCTAAGAATGCTCATTTAATGTTACAAGCTCATGCAGTTAACCCTGTTCAAATTTGACCTCCATATATCATTTTTCTGATGCAAGCATACTATATTTCCTAACTCATATTGAATGAACGCATCGTAATCAACCTACTAGAAACTAAAAGAATAGTTCACTTTACTCTCAGCATTTACTGGACCATAAAAGGTTTAGTGGGTTAAATGCATGGAACACTCTATAAAGAATTAGCCTTTCTTCACTCATATCAGGATGTCTTCTACCCCTAACTGTATGAACACATCAAAAATGAAAATATATAGTATATATTATAAGTGAAACTATAAACTGCTTATATAAAATATACTTATGAATTTATATATTTGTATTGTATATAATTAATATATTTTTCTATATTTTCTATATAAATTAGAGGTCCTTCTTCCCCTTCTTTGCACAGTTGGCTCTTATTTTCTTTTGTATTTCAGCCCAGGCAGCATCTTCAGTTAGGCTTCCCTGAACGTGGCACTCTAGATTAGCTGGCTGCCCCACCTGTGTGGTCCCATAGTTCCCTAGATATACATTTTCAAGTCTTCCTCATGTGAAGTGCTATAGGATAAATATGTTTCAGAACCTAGGCCGATTTCTGACATATCTGTGGATGTATCATAAATAGGTGTGGAAATAATATGGTTTGAATATTACTTGGTATGTCCAACAACTAAATTATGCCTGAAAATCAGTAAATGCTTAATAAAAGTTGTATGAATGAATGAACAAATGAATGAACGAATGAATGAATGAATGGAGAAACTTGGTAAAGTAGTGTTAAGGGGCTCTAGTGGATGCATTTTTAAAAAATTAACCTCATTTTTATCTTCACTTTTTCCCTTGTACTCATTTTGTCTTTATTCTTATTTTTCTAACCATATTTGTCCCAAGTAAATATTGCTTTTTTTTGGTTTTATTTGTATTAGATATTTATTGTAAAGAAATATTTTAATATTTAAAGAAATACATAAGAAAGTAAAAATCGTTAAGTCTGTCATGTAGAGATAAACATTTTAGAGGAAAATCTAACTATGTCTATGCATATGTACATAAAACATATCTTAAGAAAATAAACCTTACTATTTTTTGCCTTCTTTCTCCTTAAAACATATCATGGAGGCTTTTTACACCAATAAATATTGATTTGTTTACATCATTAATTTTAAACCACAGTATGTGTATAATTGGACTAATTCCCCTCTGTTAGACATTGACACCATTTCTGTTTATTGGCTATTCTAAAAATGCTGAGATGACCATCCTTGCTCATATATTTTTGTGTACATGTGTTAGAATTTCTGTAGGAAAGTATCTTGGATGTTTAACTGCTGAATCAAAGGGTAAGATTATTAAACATTTTGACGCATTGCTATTATAAATTACACAAAGATTATGCCAGAATATATTCTAATAATGACTCTCCCATCTCAATAAACACTACTCAACTACCTATTATAGTTACCTGTAAAACATGCTTGATACATAGAGTTTAATCAATTTTGTATTATCATTCTCACTATCACTTTTTTAGTATTATTTATATTGCATTCATGTCTGTAAGCTTCTTAAAATATTTTTTATAACCAACGTGGACTAAATAAGTACATGAATAAATATTGTCTTAACTAAACAATAGGGATTTTATATAACATTTTGTCATTCCTCAATATTTTGCTATTTAATGCAATCGACATTAATCCAACTTTTTCACTATTGACAGTAAGTAAAAAATATGAACATGAAATGTAATTTTATATTTTAAAACTCTGCTATTTACTATGCTGTCTTAAAGGCCAATTTGATATTTTCAATATGAGATCTTTAGAATGGTAAAGATTCTATTACACTGTAACATCAAAAGCACAAAGCAAAAGGAAGATTTATGTTAAATAGGAAAGACTTTTAATTTGAGTACAAACTGGGTAAGAAAGAATTTCTTTTAACATGTATAGCAATTACATTTTCTGTCTTCTCATTTTGAAATGATGTGGTTTATTTATATCTTTGTTAGAGAAGTGCAGCTGTTAAACAACTAAATTATGTGAAAGGACATAGGTTATTTTGTGGTCTCCAGTCAAATTTTAATGGTGGCACTCTTAAAAATAAAGTGTCACATAAAATCCCCAGAGATCAAAAAGGGTCAAAATAATGATGAAGTTTCATCAGCAGTTAGATTTTTCATGATTTTTAAATGTATAACTTACATTGTTTGTGGATCCTCTGAAACACCTACCCAGACCTCAGACTAGTTTTTGCTGATTGATGATGATGTAAATTAAACAGTTCTGTTCTTAAAGTGTCTTTGGAAATTTCCAGAGACTTGAATTTCCAACAAATAAATTTAATTTTGAACTTATAAATGCATGTATTTAGAACAATTCTCTATTTTCCTTGCCTGCTAAATTTCATTGGAGGAAGGAAAATAAGAGAAATATTAAGTAAACATGTCAAAAGAAAACCTATAATAATTTAAAAATGTTTGTTATACTAAAAACTTTTTTTTTTTAATGTAGCTCTCGAGACAAGCTAGCATTCTGAATTTTAAAATAGCCACTGAGTTTGGGTTGCAAAATGACACACATGAAAAGGCTATATTTTATACTTGACAGCTTGATGAATATGGATTTCATTATTGATTTTATGGTGTATAAAGAAAACTTAGTTTGTAGTCAACATGAACAGAAACCACAACTTTTTCTGACTCTTTCCATTTCTAGCATTTTCTAACATCCCATTTGCTCTAGGCTTTCAACAAATATGCTCTTCCTAACCAATTCTGAAACCCTGAGGTTAAGAGGAATAAAGAAAGATATAATTAGCTTTTTCTTCCCCTTAAATTCAACTTGTGTAGTTGAATGTTTGTAACTTATTATAGAATCTTTGACTTAAAGTCTTTGACTTAAAAATCTTTCTTACAACCACAGGCTAATTGGGAGAAAATAAACTACCTCACCTTTTCAACAAACAGGGTGGAGCAAAAGGTCAAGGATCTTTTTACATTAAAACCTACCAGACTGTGACAGTCCTATCAAAAACAAACCTTACTGAATTTCAGAATTTCTTTTTTGATGAACCTGAGTGCTTCTTTTACTTTTATCAGATTCCAAATGAAAGTATACCTATTTCTCTGTTTGATGTACTGGACAAGAACCGGTAAGAACTTGATCATTTTATTTGTCTTTAAAAATTGTGTGTAATATAATCAGTACGTTTTGTATTTTGGAATAGGGAATGCTATGACATGGTATAAAACAAATACTATGATTATGGGTACTAATAATATCAAACAGATTATTATGAAGAAAGTTTATGCATGTATGTATGTACGTATGTATGTATGTATTTATATGCGTGTTTGGTAAATTATATATTCTGTACTTTCTTTCCAGGTAATTTGTAACTAGGAAACCTTTTATTAGAAGATGTGAATATAGAACAAATAGAAATATTGGAGAGAAATTAGAATAATTCAGTAATAGAAAAATTCAGTGTTTGAAAATCATGATATAATAAATGTCTTTTTTCAATTTCACTTGTTCAAATAACCCCACTTTTGAAGAAAAATTTTACATGGGTAAATTATCAATTGCAAAGAAAACAAAATAAGCATATACTATAACTTTCTTTTTCTTTGTTCTTCTTCTTCTTTTTTTTTTTTTGGTCCTATTATGCTAAAGTAAAACCAAACCAACACTGGTTCATGGTAATAAAGTAGAAGCTTCTTCTACTGGTTTACTGGTTTATGGTAATAAAGCTTACTAATTTTAGTAATGTACTTTACTACTTTATAAAAATAAAGTAGAACTGCTTGTTCTACTTTATAATAAGAAAAGTAACAAATTTAAAATTCATGATGACTAGCTTTTTTGTAGGGATTTTGCAAAAGCAGATTACTTTCTTTGTTTTAAGTTTTAAGAACATTTTTTAATGGATACTTGAATAACTTTAAAATATCACTTCGAAATTCCAATTACTTCTTATTTCTCTTCCATTGGATATTTGAGCTAATCAAAAATTTTGGAAATGTTTGAGTTTTATATTCTGTGGAGGAGGAAGAAACAGTAATTAGAAAGTAAGGAAATTAAAGATTTCAGTGATTATCGAAATCATTCTTAACCTATGTAAACTTTTATGCTTTCTTGCATTTTCCTGAAATCCCCACATGCCTAGGAAATCAGTTGAATTTTCAGTAGTTTATTTATATAAGTATGTTTTTTCAAGTTACACATGCTCCTCCCTTCTTTACTAGAGATCGTGATATATACCTCCTAGAGGTCATGTCTCACACATTCAACAAGAAAATCATTATATTACACCTGCCTTCAAAAAAAAGGAAAAACATTCTGAAAAACTGAGATTAGTCAGATGTTTAAAAATTTTTAAATATAATAGAAGGGGAGTAGAGAGGTAGCTGAACAAGCTATATATACATATTTATCTATATAAATATACTGGGGGTGCCCCCAAAAATGTATATACATTTTAAGAAAGGAAAGAAACTGTATTAAAATTGTAATACCAAAAGAAAAAGATGAATACAAGTCACATTTGACCTCTGCAATTACAAGAGGTGCTCAAAGTGGTTACATCAGCATAATTTTAATAGTTTTTTCCTTTCTTAAAATGTGTATACATTTTTGGGCACCCTCTATATATTCAAATTGCATATGTATGAGCATATATATTCTTGGTACAGTTTATGATTCATACTAGCTGCTTACATGGCAGTTGTGGTTGTTGCTATTATTATTATAGCAAGGGTCAGCAGATATTTCTGTAAAGGGCCAGATAGTAAATATTTTAGGCCTTTTGGCCATATAATCTTTGTTGTATCTATTCAGCTCTGCCATTATAACATTAAAAATAGCTGTAGACAATTTGAAAACAAATGAGTATTCTAATAAAAATGTATTCGTGGACACAAAATTTGAATTTATTATAAATATTTACATGTTATAAAATATTTTTTTAATTTTTTCAACCATTTGAAAATATAAAAATCATTCTTGGTTTGCCAGTCAGATTTGGCCCACAGGCCATAGTTTGCCAACTCTTGTGTTTTAGTAAACTAGAAGAGATGTTAAAGATAGATAAACTCATTCTTATTTCACTGTTGAAGAAAGTGAAATTCAGAAAAAGCCAGTCATTTTTCTAAGATGATAGAACTTACAATATGTGTTATAGGATGCCTCAGAATCTTGTTTAAAAATGTAGATTCTTATCCACTGGCTAGAGGTGAAGCCCAAGATTTTGCAATTCGAGTAAACTCTCAGGTGATGCCCATGGGTATGCAAACCACACTTGAGTAGTAAGAGTATAGACATTGGTAGAACCATACTGTTTGTAGGGCAATGATCTTTTCAAAACCCATGGAATTCTGAGCACACTGCTTCAACAAATTCAACATTAGTTTTCTAAATTGTATAAATGTATTTTTGATGTGACTAGTAATTTATTTCTATTGATTTACTAAAATCAGATGTCCAACAAGCAACTTTAATTTATTGTACCAAGTATCTTTAAAAAAGGAAAACTATGAATTAACGTGGGATTTATGATTAAAAGACCCAGATTCCAGTCCTAGTGGCTTGTTATTCCGGGCCAAATCACTTAACATCCCTGAACCTCAGTTTTATCACTTTGAAATGGAAGTAACATTATAATACTATTTCACTGCATTGTGAAGCTCCAAGGAGATAACACAAATGTGTGATTCAGTCAATTATAAAGCAATATTAGTAAGGTTAGAATAATCCACTGTTTTCTTTCATGTGCATTTTCTCTTTAATTCTTTCAGATAATTTCCAGATATAGGGCTTCATGATATGTGGCTTATAGACTACCCTTAGTAGGATCTCCTGGGTTATGCATTTAAAAATGCACATACACCTACCAAATCAGAATCTCCAGGTAGAGCCCCAGGAAACTGCATTTTGAACAAACTTTCCCAGTCATTTTTTACACCCATTTTAAAATCTATGTGTAGGAATTCCTGGTCTAAAGACTTATCAGACACCTACTTTATTTTGCTTATGTAGTCAGCTTCATTTTCAACAGCTTTCCAAACATTGGCACAGTTGAGTTACTGATTGAATATTTTGATTTCTTATGTCATGTTAAATAAGTATATATATTTTAAATGTGCTTTGATTGCTTCAGAAGCAGAAAATGATACTTTTACATCTAATTTTGCTTTCTGCTGCTAGCCTTCTGGGATTTTAAAGTTCTACCTACAGTTTTGTGTCTTAACTGGCTCAAGCCATGACGTCCTATCTTTGTAGCCTCACGTTAGTCAGTTGTTTTGTACCTGGAATTCTGGTGGCCCCAAAATGTCTTCATCCTTCTTATTACATATGAATAATTGAACTAGTGAACTTCTGATAGAGTCTTAATGTTGTTCAACTATTTACATAATAACCTGTGCCATAAATGTGCCCATACTTTTCAGATCTCACCCAGAAATGCTCTGTTGCTTCTCATTGTGTGACCTTAGATGGGTCATTTAATCTCATTAAACTTCACTTTCTTCGTATATAAAATGAGGGAAAGAATAGCATATTTAAGTGATTTAAGCAGCACAGCACCTTACATGGAATGATTGCTAAATAACCATAAACCATTATTATTGTTGTTGATGTTATTGTTATTGCTGTTAGCAGATATGTTTCGTTTTCAGAAATGGAGAAAGAGAAGGAAGGAGGCTTTTTGAGAGGAGTGTGGGGTTTCAGAGGATTATCAGAATAAGAGAGTTTAAATTTTTACAGAATGTGTTAGGATGGGTAGCTTTTTATAGCTGGATTTTGAGGCCCCTCTGTTATTGAGTTGGTCAACGCTGGAAGTTGCAAGATAAGTAACTTGTCTGTGAAGATTACCAACTGTGAAAATGGCTTTGAAATCAAAGAATGTTAAAACAAGTCATAGGGATCACTTATTTCTATTCCTTCCATTTAAAGATACCAAGGCTCAGAGATGAGAAGAAAACGAATTTGCTCAGAGTCATGAGAGATGCTTGAAAGAAGCTAGAGGCTCTTGGGTGTCAGCTGTCCATGTCCAGTGCACTCACTGTCCATGCCTCTGGAGTCTGTCCATTTTGATCTCCTTATCTTCCTCTTCACAGGCATTGTCACTATAATAGAAATATGAGGCCTGACAATTAAGTTTGTGAACTTGTTGCAAAGATGTTGCTAACCTTTTTTGATATCAGAGGGGTTATTCATTATGAATTTGTACCAACTGAACAAACAGTTAACCAAATTTACTATTTGGAAGTGCTGAAAAGTTAGAGTAAAACAACCTGAACTTTTCTCCAACAATTCATGTCTCTTGCATCAAGACAATGCACTAGCTCACATGGCACTGTCTGTGAAGGAGTTTTTAGCCAGTAAACAAAGAACACCCTCCCTACTCACCTGGTCTGGCCCCCAATGACTTCTTTCTTTACCTGATGATAAAGTAAATATTTACAGGAAGACATTTTGATGACATTCAGGACATCAAGGGTAATACGACGACAGCTCTGATGGCCATTCCAGAAAGAGTTCCAAAATTGCTTTGAAGGGTTGACTAGGCACTGGTATCAGTGCATAGCTTTCCAAGGGGAGTACTTTGAAGGTGACCATAGTGATATTCAGCAATGAGGTAATTAAAACTTTTTCTAGGAAGAGTTAGTGAACTTAATTGTCTGACCTTCGTATATGCCAGAGATACAGCTGAACAACTAGAATGATTGTTCCTAACATTACCATATATCTTTGATGTTTTTAACAATTTTACTGCCTTTATAAGTTTAAACTTAAGATTTTTAGAATTCTTTCTCAGTGTGCTTTCTGTTGAGATACTGATAGAGTCATTGTCTTCCTACACATTTGGCCATAAAATCTAACATTTTGCCTCTGCTACTGAATCTCTAATCACAATACACTCACTTAGTCTAGTCCCCAGGCCCGCAATTTGTTAATTTTTCAAGCAGGAGTTAAGAAATCAACACTTCTCTTTTTTTTCTAGATATTTTCATCTTTTTGCTGATAACATTATTATTTTTTGCTATTATCATTTTTAATTACCTATTTAAACCATTTTCCCTCAGTATAAAACTAATAAATTAATATTTTAGATCTAGAACATTCAGAAAGTGTTAAAATAAAATAGAAATT